AAATTCCCAGGCTTAGTCATATGATAGCAGATAGTGGGTGTCGCCGCAGTGAAGCTGTAGACGAAAAAGTAAGAGGCCAAAGAGGCTATAAACTCCACTACATTGCTGGGCACGACTGCGAGATTTGCAGGAATGCCATCAGTGGCCATTCTGTCAGCCGATGCAACAATAATAACAATCACCATCGCAGAAGCAGACGTTACACCCAAGACCGCGATGAAGCCAACGTCTCTAACCTCCTTTATCCACGAGAAAGGTATACCCACAAGTGTCCACAGCGCGATCCAAACACGCCTATCGAGGACTCGAGTCATAGCCGCAGTGGTGTTCCCCATCAAAATAAGCATCGCGACACAGACCGAGATGAGTCCGGCGTGGACGATGATCCCGCTGTAGATCGACGCGCCGATGCCGTAGGTGTATCGCATCGCATTTTCGTAAGACCTAACTACTCTGCCTTCGCCCTCGGCGGCGAGGTGTAGAGTACGCCACAAAATAATGTTGTTGTAGAGGTTCACGAGTGCGGCAAAAATTAGACCAATCAGGGCAGCGAGCCAACCGGAGTTAGCTGCCGTACGCGGCAGTGCCAAGATCCCAACTCCGACACAGCCCATGACAATCGTACTAGCGGCTCTTATCCAGCCCATACCTTTCTGTGGGCTTGCTACCTCAGTAGCTGTTTTGGGGCTAGCTGGCATATGATGAAAAGGAGAAGACTACGCAGGTGTAACTCAAGAGCTCGAGACTCAGAAGCGAGGAAAACTTGCCAGATTACTGAGCCAGGCTCAGTGAGCCTTAACACGGTATGATATGAGTATGAATGGCTTGGGAGGCAGCCTCGAGAGGCAACCATGAACGCGTGCGCATTCACGTAAGCACGAACTTCGTGCCACACAGCGTGACCACTGTATGCACGAATCTCGCTCGCCCATTATTCGTTGCATCAACGGATCGCAGCCCTCAGGCTCAAATGGATAAAATAAGAAGCCTTATCACCTATTATGGCTATCCCAAGTGTTGTTGAGTCAATCAGAGCGGGTGTTTCTACGAACAGACCCGCGCGGCGCCAACAAAAGCGCCCGAATGCTCATGCTTCCTCGCTTCTGTGCGGCACGCAGTGCGTGCCACGCACACGCATGAGCTGGCTGGCGCCACTTGTGCTTGCGTATCTGCCTATCCATTTGTCTTGAGTACGTGCAATATAACTACTTGAGTACGTGCAATCTTATCGAGTATTCATCATGAATCCTAGAGTTAGTGAGAGAAGCAAAAGCGACTTATCGTATGACGATGGACTCTACTCCAACGAAGTCATTGTAATATCGTTGTATTCTGTTAGGATTCCACTATTGCTACTCTCAGATGCACTGTATGCAGACGATGCAGGCCGGCATTGAACCTCCACTTCTACTAAATGTTAACTCCGCGTTACTGTGTAGCGCTAGGATGGCAAACAAACCAACAAAAGCGTCAGGTAAGCATGGCTTCATCCATTCTTGTGTCTATGGGGTTTTCTACAGGGTTCAATGCTGCTAGGGGCTTCTGGCAACCACCAAGTAAGTAATTTGGTTCGGACTTCGATATGTTGCCGAATGCAGACGCAAATGCGGGAGTTTCTCGGGCTCTAGATGAGGTCGATGATGTGCCCACTGAGGCATGCTTTAGGTTATTAGGTGCTGTTAATAGTTTTGATACCCAATATTGAAACATTTGTCTACACTAGTGTCGGTGGATCCCTCCTTTATAGGTATTCAACAGGCACATGCAGCTTTGTCTGTTGGACAGCATATACGTGGTGGGAACGGTGGCTGTATACTGCTTCCAATGGTTGATAATGCCTCATGCGATGCATCAGGGAAATCACACACAAGTATCAGTTTTCTTCCTGGTGCTGGTGATGAGAGCTCCTCATCACTGAGTCGACCCTCTAGCAATACTTCCAACAACCCCCCGGGTGAGATATTTAGCCGCGTAGACCACATATCACCATACTTGTTTGCCTCCAGGTCTTTCTTTTACTGCTGACCGACGAAGAAATGATCCTGTATATATTGCTGGTTCCGCACTGGAAGGTTCCGCGCTTCGTATGGAACAGAATAGTTGCGGAGCTAGAAGGAAGAGTTATGGTGCTCCTACTGGGGTATGGAAGAACCCTTATGGTTTCGTGAGTACTATTTATGTTAATAAATGTCGTGTGTATGGTCCCTTGAGGAAGACTGTTGAAGCCGCTACCCGTGATAGGGAGGCCTTACTCAGCGTTAAGGATATTATTACCTCTATTGAAGACATGAAGGCCTTCGTGAGAGACTTGCTCAAACCCAACAAGCAAGGTGGCATTGTTGTATACCCTGGTGGTGTTGATACCAACTTGCCTCGTAATAATGCTTGCCAACGAAGAAACAGAGGGAGAAAGTCTCTGTCCGACAAAGCTCCTATTTTGTCACAAACCCAGTGTACGTCGTCCCATCAGTCGTGTAACATCAATGACGAGCTCATAAACATTTAGGCTGCTAGATGGGGGCGTCGATGTGCAGAGCAACTCTTTTCGTCGTTGTTCGAACTGGCAGTCGCTGCATAATCATTATTTCCCTAGTTTTGGTGTATTTATACGGCAAGTCGAGACAATTGAAAGGTGTTTCAAATATCGTGATATCACTTTATGTTGAGGCATGCCACATCTCTACTATTGTTGTACGTGCTTTGGCACTGATCATACAACTTTGTCATGTAGGGATGCTATCCATAGAGTTAAGGATGGTCGACTACAGCAGACTACACCATGTTTGCCAGCTCCATTTTAGAGCGGCTCCCTTTTCGTTGCGCATGCGTGCTTGTACACGCGTACTCATGCTCATCAGATCGATCTCGCTATGGCCGGATGGCCCGTTTTACGACGGTTCAATTTCTTAGGATGAGGATTGAGTTTATGTTAGAGATCATGGGTCTGAGTAGTTCTTCTTTTGAGTCCAAGTTGCACTTCCGAGTACTGTTAGTCAACGACGGGCTCCCGTTATCTCACACCGGGCTCCGATGCGGGGACGCCACCAAAGCATTGCTTTGCGACATCTTTGTTCTCGAGGAGAGTGCCACCGACGAGGCTCAAGTCCTGGACG